AGGGGTGAAGGGGTTGAAGGGAGGGCAGGGGAAGGGGGGAAAATAAGAACCAAGAGAGATTACGTAAAGGTGCAAATTTCCAATGATGAATGTCATTATATTGTATACCTAAAATGTACCAATAAAATTAATTTTTAAAAAAACCTGTTGCTGGAGTCACATCTGAAGGCAAGACCTTGAAATTCAAGTCACCATAGCCAGATTTACACACTTCCCTAAGGGATGAATGGAAGTTTGAGATTATACTGTAATGGGATTTCCCATAGAAACAGACCATTATCTCACTGTGCTGGGACCATCCTCTCACCCACTAGGACTAAGACTATACATTCTCAAATTCCACAGGTTTCCACCCCCAAACACATAAAAGCTCCCCAGTTTCCAACTGTGCGTGTCACATTCCTTTGAGCACTCATGCTCCCCTCTTGGGTGTACTTAACCTCTATTGTTCCTTGGAATTCATTCTTCAATTTCAGGGAACAAGAACTCAACATGTCTGACATTTAGTTATATCTCTCCTATACCATTAGGATGGAAGAGAGCCTGAATAGAGGGGCTGACTGAATTCTCCCATTAATTTCTGCTATGTTGGGCTTGAGCTGTTAAATATTTTAAAATTAGAGGAACATCAGGCCAGAGATTTAGCTCAGTGGTGCCGCTGCCTCCCTTGCAAGTGCAAGGTCCCAAGTTTGATCCCCAGTACCCACCCACCCACCCCAAAATCATAGGAACACCAAGAATGAAAATTGTTGCTTATGCCAAAATTCTAGTAAAAGTCAAACATTAAGGAGACTTGTTACCAGAATCTGGCCAAGTGTTAAGTAGGATGATAAGAATGAGAAGATTTTGGTTTAAACCTAGCTTTGAACTCTGTAGCAGGGAATTATGTACTTCCTGTGTTATCAAGCCAAGTATGGTTGTACATGCCTATAATCCTAGAACTCTTGGAGGCTGAGGCAGGAGGGTTTGAGCCCAGCCTGGGCAACTTAAGAGACTGAGACACTGTCTCAAAAAGTTAAAAAAAAGGGAAATGGGATAGGGATGTATCTCAGTGTGAATTCAATCCCCAGCAACACACACTCACACACACACACACACACACACACACCCCGACCTTCCCCCTAAAGTGAGATCCATATTGAAAATTCCATGGTCTATTGTGTTGGTGATATAAAAGCCATCTAATGTGGCTGAAAGGTTAAAAGACACTAGCAATAATGAGATTTTCTGAGGACAACATCATGGGGCTGGCATAACACTTCACTGGAGTAGTCTGCTCATCATCAGGATACATATTTTTTGAGTATGTAGTTGACCATAAAGCAAGTAGAGTTCAGAGACCTTTTAAAGAAATTAAAATTATTTTTATATTGTCTGTGGCCATATCAGAATGTGCTTCTTTGTGAGGAAGGAGAGTCTTGGTTTTTAGCTTTCACTAGAATTTTGTAGGGGCACAAAATCCAAAAAGATAAGGGTAAAAACTATGATTTTACGATTTTTCTGATTTCAATACTTACTCAACTTTATGTCCTTCACAATCCCACATCTCAATTATGAGATATGACCATATCTGTTGACAGTTTGTTGCTGTAATATTTTTCTTTGGTTGACCTGTTTACTATGATATCTATGTATATTCTCATGACTGGTTAACCCCTTCTGAGCCTTCCCTGCTATTGCTGTGCTTCATGCATGCAGAAAAGCAGGCATACACTTAATGCTTCAAACATGTTCCAATGGTTACAGCAGAGGGATAGTTAAGTGCATGCCTAAGCACTGTAATGTTTAAATTTTGAAAAAACATTTGCTTCTCTTTTCTCATTTGATCTTCATAACAACACAATCCAGTAGGCAGGGAATGGCATTATCATACCCAGTAGTCTAAATTCTGCAGTGAACAATGTGCCTAAACGCAGTCTAATGGAGTCTGCCATCCACTCTATGGTTTCATTTCTCTGGAAGTGGAGGAAGTGAGCTTGGTAAGAATGAAGTACGGGCTAGGGAGAAAAGATGAGATGAAGCTGGTATTTTTCCTTTAGAGGCAGGAGAAAGCTTACTAAGCAGTAAGTGGCAGGTTCTTAAGTTTCTTTTTTCCTGAGCAGAGAGCTGCAAGGGACTACAGTACTGATTATGCCTAAAGCAGGTTATAAGCAGTACAGATTGTGAAAAGTTAACTCCACAATTGGGTTGTTGATAGAAGTGAGTATGGCTGAAGCCTACATGCAAAGGTTAGAGTAACTCACACCCAAATTCCTTTCCCACAACTAAAACCTTCTTACTTAGAAAGACAATGTTCTAATCATAACCATATATTTTGTCTATTCTGTTCCTAATTCTAGAATGTTTTATCTTGTCCTTTACAAGGCTTGATTAATTTCCATAGAAAAAAAACACACGACTGTGCATCCTCGCATGTAGTACGACCCTTGTATGCACCTTGCCTTTACCCCAATTGATTACTAATAAAAATAAGCAGCTTGGAGGGAGTGCCTTTGTCGGTGGTACGGCCACTGGTCATGCTGGAGCCCCACTTTCTGTCTCTTAGTTCTGTCTTTTAGTTGTTTTCTCAGGCCTGCAACATACACTGGGCAGGAGACTGGAGCCTACTGCAGAGGTTCCAGTAATGTTTCAATGGTCCCTAGTAGAGAGCAATGATGAAATTATGTCTACAATAAACAAATCATACTGGGTGTTAATTTAATACAATGTTTGCTGGCTTGAGACAACAAAGTTCTCATTATTTATACAATAACTAAAGTTAAATGGTATATACATATTTAGACTTTTGTACTATATTATGAGCACTTTTTCTTTTTCAGTCGTGGGGATTGAACCCAGAACCTTTGAACTGAGCTCTTTTTAAAAATATTTATTTTATTTTTAGACAAGTTCTCACTAAGTTGCTCAATTGTCCTGGTTGCCCTTGAACTTGTGATCTTCCTGTCTCTGCCTCCCAGAATGCTGGGGTTATAGCCACCTGTCACCACAACTGGCTTACGACCTTTCTTCTAAACTATCCTCTTCTTTTGAGTCAGACTGATTCATCTCAAAAAAGCCACATTAATTTATATAACTTTTCTGAGGGTCTCATTGAGATAGGAAAGTAGGTTGTGGCAAAGCTGGCTGGGAAAGCAGACATAACTTGTTAATTACAAGATCCCCTTCACATGCATAGAACAGTTCTCAAAGCTTTGTATGTGGACTTCTCAGGAGAACTCAAGCAGGATTTCTTTTTTTTTGTTTGTTAAATTCTTTTATTGGTACATTGTAGGTATACAACACAATTACATTTCTCATTGGGAATTGTACCTTTACATAAGGCATCTTGGTTCTTATTTTTCCCCCATTCCTAGCCCTCCCTTCACCCTCTCCACCCTTCCCTATTTACAAAGACTTGATTTCCATTTTTTCCATTTCTCAGCATTTTTCCTTTCCCTTCTTTCCTTTCCCCTGCCCCTCCCACTACCCCTACCCCTTTGAACCTTTTCTTCCTATTTTGCATTATTGATTATTCATTCTAATCATTGGTACATTTTAGGTGTACAATATAATGACATTCATCATTGGAAATTTGCACCTTTACATAGTCTCTCTTGGTTCTTATTTTTCACCCTTGCCCGGCCCTCCCTTCAACCCCTCCATTCCTCCCTATTTACAAAGATAGGATCAAGCAGGATTTCAATAGGATGGCCTAGACCTGACATCAGCCTGAGTGCCCTTCTTCCCTCCAGCCCTCCTCTTTCTTTCCTTCCTTCCACCTGTGCCAAGGACTGAACCCAGGGTTTTATACATGTTAAGTACACACTACCGCTGAGCTCAACCCCAGCCCTCTGATTTCTTTAGGATGAAAAGAAGAGAAGGAAGTAAGTTACAGTCATGAATAGGAAACTAGTTCAGTAAATTTCATACCTCCCTCCACTTCAGGTAAAGTTTTGCAACTGTTAAAGTAATTATGAAACTTATGCAGAAATACAAAACAAAATGCATATAAAAATGTAGAAGCAAGATAAAAATTATGACTACACTATGACTACAACATCATAAAATATGCAAGGGGAAAAGTTTCTAGAAAAAATACAGTAAGTGGAAAGTGTGGCTATGTTATGGTAAAGGATTTATTGTCCTCACATGGACATTTTATTATCCAATACGGTTTAAATTGCTTTTACAATGACAAGTTTTTTATTTTTAGGTTTTTGGGGGGGGGGTTGAGACAGGTTCTCACTGTGTAGTTCAGCCTGGCCTTGAACTCACTATGTAATCCAGGCTGGCCTCAAACTCACTGTGATCCTCCTGCCTCAGCCTCCTGAGTGCTGGGATTACAGATCTGTGCCACCACGCCTGGCTCAGCCTGGGTAATTTTATTTTTTATTTTTTTAAACCCTGGGTAATTTTAAAGGCTGAGGATGAAGAGGTTCTTTGGCTCTCTGATATAAAGTCATTAAAAGCTTATTCTAAATTCATCATTAAAAGCCCTTAAGCTTTTACAGACTAACATTTTGTGACCATCAGCATCAAAGTTTATTCACTGATAGGTATCCCTGCAGCCATTTGCATAGGAAAGAATGACAAAAGGAATTCTCCCAACCCCTTCACTTTACAAAATTAGGATTGAGGCTTCAGTTTTCCAATCTAGAAGCAGAGCCAAGATAAGGACCCAAACCTTCTAACAGGAGGGGTGAACCAGATATACAGTGATATGTAAATTTTTGTAAATTACAGTAAAAGACATAGAAACTCAAATTACAAATAAAAAGCAAAAGATCATAGGAGATACGGAGATAGATCTTTCTCAAATAGGAAGGAGATGAGGAAATGGGGAGAGGAGCTAAAAGGGGGAAAGGGGACGAAAAAAGGCATTAAAATGTGTTATGTACATGAAAGAGCTCCACAAGGAATGCGAACATTACATACTGCAAACACGTATTTTAAAAAAACAAAGACATTGTCATCAGTCTTTCTCAAAATACATTCTCTCGCTTCGAACACACTTTCCCTACCGTTCTTGCCACTCTCTGAAGCAGCTCTGCAAGTTCTCTGCCATGAGCGTCCTTTACATGGTGTGATCAAAACCGCGGTTAGTGCTGCTGCCGAGGCCACGCCGGAAAGGCATCCCTCGTGAAAATATACCGGCGGATCCTGGCCACCTTGCTCGCTCATCTGGCACCTGACTTCTGGCTCTTCCCTAGTCAGAACGACTGCGAAGGGCAAACGTTTTGGACCCATTGAGGACCTGGAGGCAGCCAGGTCCGCGCAGTTAGGAAAGAAGACTTCGGAGTTCCTTCCACAAGTGGCAAAGATAATAGGGCGATGTGTGGTTCCCTGTAATAATCTATGTTCCAACCACACCACGTGTCCACCCACGAGCCCTAACTCCCCAGCCAAGCGCGCAGAGCCCGCGGCCACCCCCCCGGCCCCCCCGGCCCCCCCGGCCCCGCCCCCGTCCGAAGCCCCGCCCTCCCCGCCGCGCCCGCCAGGTGGCGCTGCCGCCCGCCCCGCCCGTGGCCCCGCCCCCGGCCAACCTTCGATGCGGCCGGCGCGTGACGTCACTCCGTTTGAGCCAAACAAATGGGTTTCGGGGCGAACGCTGGCCTCACCGCACCGTGCTGGGTGCTCCCTCCGCCGCGGCTGCGGGGAGCGAGACAGGCTTGCTGCCGCTGCGTCGGGCAGGAGCAGCCCCGGGCCAGGTCCAGGCTAGGGTCGGAGCGCAGGTGAGTCAGACCGCGCGGGGCGATCCCGGGGCCACCGCGGCGTCCCTTCACCGACGCCCAGCGGGCCGCGGGCAGAGGGCGACCGGGCGGGACGGATGGGTGGGGCGCGCCGTCGGGCCTCCGTGCCCCGCCACCCCGCGGACGTGAGCGGGCGCGGGGCCCTCACCCAAGGGCCCCGGGGGCAGAGGTTCGGGCTCGCCCTGGCTTGCGGGCCGGCGTGAGGTCATGGCCGAGCCCGCGCGCCGTGACGTCAGAGCTCCTGGCGCTGCCGTGACGTCACGACAGCCCGCTCCTTGCACGGGGCCTGGGCTGGGCTGCGGGGCCCTCGGGGCCTAGCTGCAGGCGGCGCGGGAGGTGTTCGCTGTCAGCTATTCAGTTTTCCTATAGCAGTTGTCAGGTGCTTCCTAGGCTTCAAACGAGCATTAGGAAGACACTTGATTTAGGAAGGTTAAGTCAGGTGAGATGTCTGGGCGTTCTCCTAGTTTGCTGGTTTGTGGCTGGAATTACTGAAAAAACAAAACCACTTGAGTGCTAGTTTGCCAACTTTTGGGGCCCGATATAGGCTTGTTAGCATTTTTGTTAGGGAATTACCAGAAAGATGGAGATCGCATCTTAAATTAACTTTTTGGATCGTAAAAAAGAATGAGTTTGAATTATTCCAGCTCTTTTAAACAACCCCCCCCCATACTCCCATGGATAATTGAAGGTTTTCTAAGGTTATAGCTCAGCAACAACCTTCTTGCTTACTATCTCTAGGCGGTAACAATATAACAACATATTCCAGGACTGCATGTCTGGACAGGTAACTAAAATTTTGTCAGTAGTGATTTTGAATGCGAAATTGCAAAATTTGCTTTAAACAAGTGATTTTTCTGTATTGTTTTTCTTGCAAACGTTCCAAAAGAGATAAAACGAACAGAATCTAGTCACTTGCTGTATTGATCTCGATATTTTAGTATATTTTAGTGTATGTGCTGCTGAAGTGAGCACGATATTCCAGCATATTGATATTTTAATCATTTCTCTTTTTAGAATCATGTGAAAAGATTCTAGTTCAAAAGGTGGCTGGCTGGCTTAAAACTGAAGCGTAATTACAGCTAGTGTCTGCAGCAAGAAGCTTGGGTAGGAGTCCTCAACCCTTCCTCATTAACCGAGCCTTGGAATAAATTTTTTTGGCCTTTTTTTCCCCAGCACTTACTGCTTTCTGTTTGCTCTTCAAAGCCTTTTAACAAAATATTATCAGATGGAAGTTACACTATGTCATTAATTCAGGAGGTTAAAACAAACATTACCCCATTGAATACTGTGGATTTGAGGAGGGTGTGCCTGGGATTGAACCCAGGACCTTTCATGCGCTGAGTTGTGTAAGCCTCTTAGTACTGGATTTTATTGGAAGTTCTCAAGACAAGACTTTCTCATAAATCTTGGGAATTCCACAGTATTGTGTGTATTACTGAAAGTTGTTTAGTCTGGGTTTTTTTTCCTTTTAAGAAATTAGGAATTGTATGCTGACAATATTGAGTGAAAGCTCTAAAGATGAAATTTGAGCCTTTGAAGCCCATCGTGGTGATCAATGTCTGTAATCCCAGCACTTGGGAGGCGGAGGCAAGAGGATAGCAGTGAGTTTGAGGCCAGCCTAGGCTACATAGTGAACTCAAGGCCAGCCCAAACTGCACAGTGAGACTCTGTCTCAAACCATACCTCCCCCCCCCCCAAAAAATTGAGTCTTCGGAGCATAAAAGACTGATAAGTACTTAAAGTGAAATTGCAGAATAAGGGAGGAGTATTAACCTCATGTTTAAGATGAAACGATGTTGACAGGTGTTACCTAATGAAGTTGAAGGAGACTCACAAAAAAAGGACACCTGTTCACCTTTACCAGGTGGTAGCCTTCTGTGGCAGGCAGGCTGTGTGGCTCTATGTTTCTTTGTATTTTTTATTTTTTTGGCTCTATGTAGATAAGGGAAGGGATAGAAGCCAACCTGAATGTGAGTTGAAAATCTATAGTTTGTGATCATTTATTTTTTTCTTAGTCAGGTGGAGAAAAAAATGTCAGTATATTCTGAAGGGACTGAGAAACAATGACGAGTATAGAAATGTCCTGCTTATGTGTATAATAAGCCTTAATTCTTAACAAAACATTTTATAGTCAGTTTCTACTTTTGCCAGGATGTTTTTCACCCATGCTTTACAGTTTTGGGTTTAGGAGGCAGCTTTTAATTCTTACATGGTTTTGTGAAAATTATTTGAGATTGGGCTTATTATTTTAAGAGGTGTCATTTTATTCATTTAACAGTGTTTAAAAGATTAAATCAGCCAGTCATTAGTAACATGGCATCTTTTTGATAAATAAAAGCAAATATTATGAAGAATGAGAGTGCTGTATGTCAAATTCTTTAAGAATTAGGTTAGCTTTATTAACATACTTAGAGTACAAATTCTTTTAAACATTTTCTACTTTATTTTCTAATATATATTCAACCAGTTCAATTTCTACAGGTGTGATATTCTGAGTTAATCTTGTTTTAGTATTTGTTGATGGGAGAACATACTTGAGACATCATTGACCTTAAAAAATTTGCAGCTGTTTAGAACCAGACACTTGGAGAAAGCTCCCGTGGTACAATGAATGCCTGCCATGTGAGGTCGTGTGTGACAAAGGCAAAATTCAGCAAGTGTGTAATCTGCTGACCTCTGCAAGCAACAATAATAGAAGAGAGCAGATTAGTTCCAAATGCATTTAAATCACTTAGAAATTGAATTCCTGTCAATTCTTTTTTTTTTCTTTTTTTTTTTTTTCTTCCAAGACAGGGTCTCACTATGTAGTTCAAGGCTGGCCTTGAACTCACTATGTAGTACAGGGTGGCCTCAAACTTACAGTGATCCTCCTGCCTCGGCCTCCTGAGTGCTGGGATTACAGATGTGTGCCACCATGCTTAGCCCTGAATTTCTCTTAGTTCTTTACTAATTTTTTTCTCTCATATAATTTATGCTTTTGGTATTTTTTT